TCAGGTAGCTGAGTGTGAGGGGGGAGGTTTAGAGAGCCAACACTTAGAGATAACTCATCTGACACCAATAAAATATGGTGGGCTAATTCTTGGACTGTCTAGATATTCCCAAAAAAAGGATAGAAAATGAATGGGGTAATTAGGAAGAGGAACATCAATAAACTCTCTCATGCAGAGATTTTAGGGCTGGAGGGTAGGACATTGCCATAGTATATGGAATAATGAGCCCTCGCCTTGACAGCACCTCCAGCATGTGTCAGATGGAGTAAGGTTCCAGGCATGGAGAACGTCAGGTGTTCTATACCAAACCTCATCACTTTGTAGGTAGTTTGATATAATGAAGAGTAATCATCTGTTATATAAACACCCAAATATCTGAGAGTCTGAGTACACCAATGGTATGGATAAGCAGACTGTAGGGAAGGGAAGGTCTTACTGGGGATATGTAAGGGAAGTGCTTCCATCTTGGATATATTTATTTGTAACCTGACAGTTTTCTAAAGGCAGATAATGTTTGGTGGAGCACTGGAAGGGAAATATGAGGTTCAGTCAAGGTCAAAAGTAAGTCATCCACAAATCATGATAATTGATATTCCCTGTGACACAAGGGCACCCTGTGATTGTCCACACTCAAATGTATAGCAGATTTTGGATGTTCTAGGCACAGAACAAATAATAGGGGTGAGAGCGGACACCCCTTTCTGGTGCCATTGTTCATAGGAAAAGAAGAGGAATAGGTGAATGAGAGCTTGACTTGGGATGTGGGGTGGCAGTATAAGGCCCAGATGGTGTTTAAAAAAGGGCCTATGAAGCCAACACAAGTCAAGGACACTAACATGTAGGGTCAACCTAACCTATCCAACTCCTTGTGGGCATCGGAGCACCAGGCGTCTGAGTTTTGTTGAGAATGCCATCCAGGTTTTCCATCCATCGGGTGTTGTCCCCTGCTTGTCTAATTGGGATAATCCCAACATGGTCTCTGGATAAGTCATGAAAGGAGCTGGGAAAGCCTGGCTGGCTAGAATCTTTGTGAAAATCTTTTTTTTTTATTTTAATCAGAAATAATCCATGTTATCGGCCGTAATCATCTGGGGAGGTGGGGTTTTACCGGACTTTGGAATGAGTGTGATGTAAGAATGCATAAAGTCTGAATGGGGAATCCCCCTTGAGTAAAGAGTGATAAAGGTCTAGTGGGGGGGGGGGCAATATTGGAGAGAATTTCCTGTAATATTGATATGTGGGTCCATCCGGACCTGGAGATTTATGAAGGGGGAGATTTTTTAATAACTATTGAGGAACTCATGGAGGTTATGTCAGAGTTTAACCACTTCCCAACCAGCCGTTGCATATAAACGGCCGGATTGTAGCAGTGAAGGGTCGGGTGGCCATTTATAAATGGCCTCCCCACACTCTGCTTGTGCGCGCTCCCTGGGAGCGCACAGCACACCCACCACGATCTGGTGCCCGCTGTGTCCTCCAGGACACAGTGAAACACCGATCGTCGGATGGGACCTCTGTATGAGGTCCCGATCATGTGATCACTGATTGGCTAATCAGTGATCACATGCAAAGTAGTAAGCAAGATGTCACTTGTGACATCATTGCTTACTACGTGTGAAATCTGTGAATGATCACAGAGGTCACATGGTACAAGGCTATTCACAAAGGCTTGTACCATGTGACAAGCTGTGACCAATCACAGCTCACTCAGTACTTCTCAATGAGTGCAAGAATGCACACAGAGAGAAAGAGAAATGATTGCTTTTACATCCTATATGGGTGTAAAAGCAATGTGTAAAAAAAAAAAAAAAAATCTTCATCACCCCCCACAAGTAGTACAGTGTCACCATGGTGACACTGTACTGCTAGGGTGACAGTATGTAAAAAAAAAAAAAAATAATAATATAAAAAAAAAAAATAAAAATGTAAAAAAAAATGTTTAAAAATTATAATTTTTAGTTATAAACTAATTTGGATTTTTTTTTTTACTAAAAAGATAACGGAATAAATTTTGGCAAAGATTTATGATGAAATATTATTTATTTGCAAAATTTTATTTAAAAAAAAATCACTTTTTTTCAAAATGTTTGGACTTTTTCATTTACATAGCAGCAAAAAATAAAAATCCCAGAGGTGAATAAATACCACTAAAATAAAGCTTTATCTGTCTCAAAAAAATGGTAAAAAATTCATTTGGGTACAGTGTTGCATGACCGCGCAATTGTCAATCAAAGCGTGATAGCGCTGAAAGCTGAAAATTGCCCTGGTCAGGAAGGGGGTAAAAGTGTCCGGTCTGGAAGTGTTTCAAAAGTTTCAATTCAGAGGAGTTCAGTTTGGGTGTCTGTAAAGAGGCAGTAAATCCATCAGATGTTTCTGGACTATAAGGTGGGTGCTCGCCCGCTGTAAGGCCGTCATACAAGTTATGATGAAACTTGGTACAGATCCCAGCCATAGCATAGGGGCAGTAAATGGGGGAACCGTCTTGTTGGAGTGATCAGTGGGGGATGGATTGTGGTGGCCTAACTCTGACTTTGTGTGGCTTCTGCTCTAGAAATTGTATCAATAGTCATCTCCTTTCCACATATTGATTAGTGGTTCCAAATTAATAATGACTCCTGCCGGAGGGAACAGACACACTCAGCATCTTTCCAAATAACTGTTCTGTTTATTCAGCACATTTGAAGTTTTTTACACACATGATTACATAGGTATCACATTAATATTACAGTTGTACTTGTATGTAACAAGGGGCATTACATAGGCCGGCTAATTTCTAATCAGGATGACCAAGAATGCAAACATGTAATGAACACATTATTAGTGCCGTGTGCATGAGGAGTGCATGTACAACACATAGGCAAAGCATACAAAATAGGATACAGTTTTTATACAGAATTTACACATTTCCGTTATAATCTCCCTCTTTTGACCAATATTTTCCATTTTGATCACAGACCACACCCACTATCACCTTTAACCTGGAACACTCTAAAGGAGTTGTTTCCACTTAACCTGTGCAGGAATTATCTATTCTGGTAACAGCCAGAACCAGTCAACTGGTCTCAGAGCCCTCCCAGGCTAATCATCCCTCCTCTGACTCTTCCAAAGAAGATGCAGATGAACATGACTGTATGGATCCTGCTTTGTTCAAGCAGTTAGTGGTTAAAATGATGTTGAACAAAATTGTCACAAATCAGTAGGCATATGGTCAAGGCACTCTAAATGAATTGTTTATACTCACCTTGTGTAAGAGTCATCTATTCAGTGGAGAAGGCTATCTTTCCAGAGGGGTTTTTCTTCAACAATGGATATGGACCAAACTATTCATATCTCACAGACACATAGTACAAAATCTTCTCAGTTGTCAGACAGTGGCAGAAGGTCCAGTTCTCCATACCACTATGGGGAAGCTCAAGTCAGTGGCCATGATTTTGAGAGATGAAGGTTAGCGGATTTAGGTCACTTTTTAAGAATGGTGTATACCCTCATGAGAACATAGAGCAGCATGAATCAAAGTCTACAACAAAGTCTGAATAAAATTCCAAGGATATGCTACGTCAGACGTTTTCTCCAGGGAAGCCCAAGTTTGTCATTTTCTTGTTTCTTTCAGAGGTCTCGATGTGGGTTCGAGCCCAAGCATGCTCAAAGAGCACATCCCTGCCACCTTAGCCTTTAGTGGGGCTCTGTAGGACTTTGATAAATTAATTCTTCAATTCTTTAAGGCTGTAGTAAATCAAAGGCCTCCCAGAGCATTGGGGGCCTCACAATAGTCTGCTCCAAAAATCCACGATAGAGTTGTCACTATGGGAATTGTCAAAGATGGCTTTCCTGGAAGTGGTAGCCTTAGCCAGAAGAGTTTCTGAGATGGTGGCTCTAGGATTTGAAGAACCCTATACGTCCTTCCTGGCGGACAGTTATTCTGCTCTAATGCTGGACTCTATTTCAAAAGTGGCCTCAAGTTTCCATTTATAGAGATTGTGTTGCCTTTATTTCATCTGGAAGATGAACAAGGTAATTCTTTGGATGTAGGGGAGACGCTGAAGACGTGTGCTACCTTGAGCTTCAGGTCATCAGATTGCCCATTTGTGATTCCCAGAGCTTCATGCAAGGGGGTAAGAGATTCGAGTCGAGTGCTTGCGCCTTGGCTTGGGAAAGTGTCTCACCTTCCTGGGGCAGCCACCCGTAGAGCATCACTGGAGTCAATATGCAAGGTGACAACGTGGTCACCCATACACACCTTTCTGATCACATAAATCCATAATTTTTGAAAACTGTTAATTTTGGCAAAATGGAGGACGGAGGCCAAACTAAACCCTATTTTGTTTCTGCATTATCCCACCCTTGTTAGCTAGTTAGATCCCAGTGGTAGGCTGACATGGAGCTGTCAGGAAAATGCAAAATTGAATATCAAATATTTATGGCAATTTCCCTTTCCGGACAACTCCATGTCAGCACAAACTCCCACCCAGGTGTGGAAATATAGCTACAGAACGCCCGCCTGAGAGAGGGAGTCAAATTTATGAGTTAGGTCCTGCAGGGGGGGTATGGGCAGGGCATAAACAGTGGTAGGATGACATGGAGCCCTCAAAAATAGGAAAATTTTAATTATTTGATATTCAATTTTCCATTTTTATAGCAATTCACAGTGAAAGTGCATACACATTCCTTCTGTGTGAATGAGGTAATGAATGTTTGTAGGCTAGTAACTGAATTGTTTGAAAGGTTTGCATTGATTTAAAATGGCCCGGTCCCACACTTCATCCATGTCTTTGGGGGCCTCTGATCTCCTTATGAACTGTTTCTTCCATGATGAAGATCAGCCATGGAGTATATCTGAGGTGTATATCAGGGTGTGCTTCTTCCCCACATGAGAGCTGGGATGTCCAGCAACATTCATCTAGAAGACATTTCCCGCACTCAAGGCACTAATACACCTCCAGGGTTGTGTGGGACCCTGATGTACAGGAAGACAGGACTTCAGTGAGGAACATTTCCCTCACTCAGGACAGGAAAGTGGCTTCTCCCCTTGTGAGATCTCTGATGTCTGTAAAGATTGGACTTCTGTGAAAAACATTTCCCACACTCAGGACAGGAATATGGCTTCTCCCCTGTGTGAGATCTCTGATGTTGTATGTAAAGATGGGATTTCTGTGAAAAACATTTCCCGCACTCAGAACAGGAAAATGGCTTCTCCCCTGTGTGAGATCTCTGATGTGTGTAAGATGTGGACTTCTGTGAAAAACATTTCCCGCACTCAGGACAGGAATACGGCTTCTCCCCCGTGTGAGATCTCTGATGTATGTAAAGATGGGACTTTTGTGAAAAAAACATTTCCCGCACTCAGGACAGGAATACGGCTTTTCCCCCATGTGTGCAATCTCTGATGTCTTTTAAAACTGGACACTTGTCTGAAAAGCTTTCCCCCGCATCTCTGAGGACAAAAACATTTCCCGCACTCAGGACAGGAATATGGCTTCTCACCCGTGTGAGATCTCTGATGTATTTAAGATATGGACTTCTGTGAAAAACATTTCCCGCACTCAGGACAGGAATACGGCTTCTCCCCTATGTGAGATCTTTTATGCACATTAAGATGGACTTAAACAGGAAACATTTCCCGCAATCAGTACAGGAGAAGCTCTTCCCTGTTGGAAGGCCGGCCCGGTCCCGCACAGTCTGAGGTTCCTCAGGATACGAGGAATCCGATGGTCCATCTACACTGGGTGGTGCCGGATGGACATTGGAGGGAGCCGGGTTTTCTCCTGGACTATACTGTGTGATGTCCTCATCTTCTACTTTCCAGTCTGGAGACAAAGTGAGACAATCCTCGGAGGTTTTCCTCATCTCCCGGCCATGGACTAAAATACAAAGACAAAGAGGATTACTAGACAGGAGCTGATTGGTTCCCCCAAACCAGGACTCCCGCCCACATCAGGCAGCTTGGTCTCTGAGGAGCTTACAATTCCACCCTCAAGGGAACTAGGAAATGGCTCCTCTGATCTCCTACCAGGTCATTTCTTTATTCATGGACCTTAGTCAGAGAGTGAGGAAACAACCAGAACTGTCTTTTATAGGAGGGACAGTGATGAGGGGATTATAGGACGAGGGTCCCCACCCCCTCTATCACTCATCGCCATCTTCCCAACACAAGAAGTACTGCACTTCCTTATTTAGTCCATGATTTAGTCATGAAGAACAGCGGGGCTGAGCCCCACCAGAGGTCAGAGAGTGAGGATGGGGGGGGGAGAACAACCAAGATGAAGACTGGACTGATCCTGAAGACCACCATCATTGGGGTATTGACTCCTCCCTCATTATCACTTTCTGTTTAAGGGTCCAAAGTTGGAGGATGTTATCACATTATTATCACCATGTAAAAGTCTGTGCTCCAATCACATCATCCGATATAAAATGTCCAGCTGGGAGGAAATGGGTGTAACAAAAGAGAATCCATATTATGTGTATATATAGCAGTGGGGGGAGGGGGGGGAGAGCAGAAGTCAGGACTATGGAATGTACAACATGGAGTATATAGTGCAGGGGTCAGGAGTATGTAATGTACAACATAGAGTATATAGTGCAGGGGTCAGGAGTATGTAATGTACAACATAGAGTATATAGTGCAGGGTCAGGAGTATGTAATGTACAACATAGAGTATATAGTGCAGGGGTAAGGAGTATGTAATGTAATGTACAACATAGAGTATATAGTGCAGGGGTCAGGAGTATGTAATGTACAACATACAGTATATATAGTGCAGGGTCAGGAGTATGTAATGTACAGGTATATAGTATGGAATAATGTACAACATAGAGTATATAGTGCAGGGGTCAGGAGTATGTAATGTACAACATAGAGTATATAGTGCAGGGGTCAGGAGTATGTAATGTACAACATAGAGTATATAGTGCAGGGGTCAGGAGTATGTAATGTACAACATAGAGTATATAGTGCAGGGGTCAGGAGTATGTAATGTACAACATAGAGTATATAGTGCAGGGGTCAGGAGTATGTAATGTACAACAGAGTATATAGTGCAGGGGTCAGGAGTATGTAATGTACAACATAGAGTATATAGTGCAGGGGTCAGGAGTATGTAATGTACAACATAGAGTATAGAGTATAGTGCAGGGGTCAGGAGTATGTAATGTACAACATAGAGTATATAGTGCAGGGGTCAGGAGTATGTAATGTACAACATAGAGTATATAGTGCAGGGGTCAGGAGTATGTAATGTACAACATACAGAGTATATAGTGCAGGGGTCAGGAGTATAATATACAGCGTATAGTATAAGATACAACAGATGTCTTTTACTTAGGAGTGTTGATGATATTAAGCCAATTATTATCACAGAGTTGTTTGGCTCCTTTTTAAATCCTAATGATAACAGAAATCACCCAAATGGCCCGGATCAAAAGTCTCCACCCCCTGGAATGTTTGGCCTTGGTACAGACACACACAAGTGACACACACGGGTTACAATGGCAATAAAGGTTCATTTCCCACATCTGTGTCTTTCTAAATAAGTGCAATTAGTGTCAGTGTATAAATAGTCAATGAGTTTGTTAGCTCTCATGTGGATGCATGAGCAGGAGGAGATACTGAGCCATGGGGATCAGAAAAGAAACTGTAAAAGTCCTGCATAACAAGGTATTTAAACTTTATAAAGATGGAAAAGGATAAAAAAAAATATATCCAAAGCCTTGAATATGCCATTACTGTTCTTTCAATCACTTATTAAGAAGCGGAAAGTTCTGGGATCACTTGATGCCAAGGTTAGATAGAGCAAGAAATTTGAAACCACAAGTGCAGGGGTGCCAGAAGAATTGTTCAGGATACAAATAAAAAACCACAGGTAACCTCAAGAGAAAATAGGCTGCTCTGGAAAAAGACGGGGTGGTATGTGTCAAGGAGCAAAATATTACGATACTTGAACACAAATGAGCTGCATGGTCGAGTGCCAGAAAGAAGCCTTTACTGCACCAATGCCACAAAAAAGCCTGGTGACGCATGTGAAGATGTTGTCACAGCCATACTGTAACCAGGCTTTTTTTGTGGAGTAAAGGCTTCTTTGTAACTCAACCATGCAGCTCATTTGTGTTCATGTATCGTAATATTAATTGCTCCTTGAAAAATATTGTCATATTGTGCTCCTTAAAAAAACAAACTCTTTTTCCAGTAGCAGCCTGTATTTGTCCTGAGGTTACCTGGGGTTTTTCTTTGTGTCCCAAATGCAAACTTTTGAGCATAAATGTATACAGTGTAAGGGTCAGGACCCATAATATTTGGTATTCATCAATCAGCAGGACACTTAAATGTTTACTGTGGACAAGTTGCAGAGGTCCCACACCGCTGCCTCCCATCTCCTGAGACTGCACTCAGTGACTTGGGTCTGAGACACTACAGACATATCCCTCCACCCGGCACAGCCAGCAGACCACAGAGCAAGGAACCCTGGGGAGAAATGTTCTGTCAGAGATCTTACTATCTCGGGCATGGGGAAGAAGGTCCAAGGCTCATGCCCCAGGTGCCTAGGTCTAGTAATGTCTATGGTGAAAAATGAACATTTTGCTGCCAGCTGAACCCCAGAACCTCCATAAATCCAGTCTAGATACATAAATTGTGTCTGCAGCACAGAGAAGGAAGATTATCCGAGAGAAATCCAGGAATACAGGACGGGGAACACAGCTCAGGAAAGTGACCAGGGGATTACAGGCTGATATCACCCAGTCCCCGCCCTACTCTGGACCAATCAGTGAGCAGTATGGGTGGAGGAATGGATTTAGTGTTCATGACCCACCTGTGCTGATCTCTGTAGGAGTGTCCTCCTCTATAAATGTCCCCGTTATTCCATCCTCCTCCATAGACTGCTGATCATCCCTCACATACGCCTCTTCTTCTTCTGCTTTCACCTCAAATTCTATATCGATTGGATCTCCACTCTAAATCAAGGAAATAATGGAAGAGATCATCTGTAAAAACATCAGCTTCAATTTTGTGGCATCACATTTAATAAATCAATACATACATCTCAACAAATCCATGTTCTAGATACCACCAACCTTGTAATGGTGAGGGATGGTGTGACCTTCCTGTGTGGAATCCCGGGAATACAGAGGAAAGGGGACATCTCTCTGGTGGGTTCCCATGACTGGATCCATCTGTAGGAAACACACACACTGACTGAATCCATTGTTTCTATGTGTTTTTATCAGATGATGGGGGATCTAGGTGGATCCTCCGTACTGCTCTCTCCTTTACAATAAAGTCTCCTCTTACCCGGTGATGTGAGGGGCGGCTGATTGTCCATCATGACGTCCTTGTAGAGATCCTTGTGTCCTTCTAAATACTCCCACTCCTCCATGGAGAAATAGACAGTGACACCCTGACACCTTATAGGAACCTGACACACACAATGATACAGTCACCATCCAGACACATCCCTTGTCTGTTACTGGAGAATGTCCCAGAATTCCCGGCACCGCTCACCTCTCCTGTCAGCAGCTCCATCATCTTCTTGGTGACTTCTAGAATCTTCTGCATGTTGTGTCTCTCAGGGTTTAGGGAGTCACATGGAGGCACTGTGATGGTCATATGATCACCTGACTTCAGAAGAGGAAATCTCTGTATTGGTTAGACTCCCAGAATCCTCCTCACCTCTCCGGTCAGGTCTGTTATATTAATAGAGATAAGAGTGATGTCATGTGACCTCCCAGAATCCTAGTGATCAATAATGGTGAAGCGCTATGCTTAACATCATAATAAGATAAATGATACATTAAAATCCCATTGTGTACAACCCTATAAATTCTGTGCAAAAAATGTAAATTTAAATAAACATGATATATTCAAGTGCAATATCATAATTAATTACCGTATTTGCCGGCGTATAAGACGACTTTTCAAATCCCCTGAAAATCTTTTGAAAAGTCGGGGGTCGTCTTATACGCCGAGCCGGTAAGAGGGCGGCACTTTTTCGAGGGGCGGCAACGCCCCCCCTCCTCCTCCAACTTACACCAAGTACAGGGGTGGGCAGACGGGCTGCTGTACCTTACCTGGCTCCGGTCCCGGTCCCACGACGATCCGGTCCAGGAAGCGCGGCTTCTCCTTCTTTTAGTTCGGCCGCTCGATGGTCCCGTGTATCAACCCCCGCTCGGCTCCGCCTCCTCACCGGTGATTGGGCGCCAGCACTGGAAAGGCACACAGGCGACCAATCACCGGCGAGGAGGCGAAGCCGAACGGCCCTGCGAAAATCAAGCGGCCGAACTGAAATAAGGAGCAGCCGCTCCTCTCCCCCATTGACACCAACGATGGGGACTATTCCTCCCCACTGACACCAATGATGGGGCATTTTTCTCCCCACTGATACAATGATGGGGCACTATTCCTCCCCCACTGACACCAATGATGGGGCACTATTCCTCCCCACTGACACCAACCATGGGGCACTATTCCTCCTCCCCACTGACACCAATGATGGGGCACTATTCCTCCCCCACTGACACCAATGATGGGGCACTTTTCTCCCCCACTGATACCAATGATGGGGCACTATTATCCCCACTGACACCAATGATGGGGCACTATTCCTCCCCCACTGACACCAACCATGGGGCACTATTCCTCCTCCCCACTGACACCAACGATGGGGCACTATTCCTCCTCCCACTGACACCAATGATGGGGCACTATTCCTTCCACTGATACCAATGATGGGGCGCTATTCCTCCCACTGACACCAATGATGGGGCGCAATTCCTGCCACTGATACCAATGATGGGGCGCTATTCCTCCCACTGTCACCAATGATGGGGTGCTATTCCTCCCACTGACACTAATGATGGAGCACTATTCCTCCCACTGACACTAATGATGGGACACTATTCCTCCCACTGACACCAAACCGATGGGGCACGATTCTTCCCACTGACACCAATGATGGGGCACTATTCCTCCCCACTGACCAATGATGGGGCACTATTCCTCCCACTGACCAATGATGGGGCACTATTCCTCCCACTGACACCAATGATGGGGCACTATTCCTCCCACTGATACCAATGATGGGGCACTATTCCTCCCACTGATACCAATGATGGGGCACTATTCCTGCCACTGATACCAATGATGGGGCACTATTCCTCCCACTGACACCACTGTCTTTTCACTTCTTTTTGTCAGGACCAGGTCTTTTGGCTAAGTCCGGGCAATTTTTGCTGATGGAGCACTATTCCTCCCACAGACACCAATGATGGGGCACTATTTCATCCACTGACACTAATGATGGGACACTATTCCTCACACACTGACACTAATGATGGGACACTATTCCTCACACACTGACACTAATGATGGGGCACCATCATTGGTATCAGTGGGGGGAATAGTGTCCCATCATTAGTATCAGTGGGAGGAATAGCGCCCCATCATTGGTGTCAGTGGATGAAATAGTGTCCCATCATTGGTATCAGTGGGAGGAATAGTGCTCCATCATTGGTGTCAGTGGCAGGAATAGTGCCCCATCATTAGTATCAGTGGGAGGAATAGCGCCCCATCATTGGTGTCAGTGGATGAAATAGTGCCCCATCATTAGTGTCAGTGCGAGGAGTAGTGCCTCATCATTGGTGTCAGTGGGAGGAATAGCACCCCATCATTGGAATACCATACTGAAATAGCATACCATATTGAAATCAAATCTGATGTTTTTTCATTTTTATTTGGTGTGTGTTGGAAGAGGGGTAGTCTTATACGGCAAGTATAGCTCAAACCCTATATTTTAACAGGAAAAGTAGGGGGTCGTCTTATACGCCGGCAAATACGGTAATTCAAAATTGATCAATAAATAAATTTAATGAATATACACAGTGATTAGGTGTTATAAAGCCACACTTGTGATAATGTGCAAATAATCATTGATTTTTTGATATTCCAATCTAGCAGCTAACCAGACCAATGAAGTGAAATAATTTGGTAATGTGTCACTCAATCTATGTCACACAAAGTGAAAGGTGCTCAAAATATAAATAAAAATATATACAAAAAATCAGTCCACAATAAAGCTCAAGCCAGTAGTGCAAACAATGATTATAATGTGCAAAACTTGCTTCACTTCACTCCATGCTTGATGTGTGCTCAGGTAACACTGCAGTGTATCCATCCTTAAATGGCTAGAGTGGCTCCTCACCTCCTTAACTTGACCCCTAGCCACTGCTCATTTGGGTAATTGGAAATTCCACTTCTGGAGGGGTCTCTACCACCTGGCTCCACTGGCTTCACTGACAGTACTGGTACTCCTCTATAGTTGTAATCAGCGTAGTAGGACTCACATTTATGTGGTGAATACCAAGGCCATAGAAGGATACACAAAGAAGACCTCCATAGTGAAATGCTGTTTAATTCCAATATCAAAAAAATGCCAAAATGAACACTCACATGCAGGGGCGGACTGACCATTTGGAAACTCGGGCACTGCCCAAGGGCCCAGGGTCAGTAGGGGGCCCCATGAGACGCCCCTGGTACCTTTTTCATAGACTTTTTTGAGTTTGGGCAAGGACACAGGAGCCCCATGATCCCCTATTGCCCGGGGGCCCCATGAGTTGTCAGTCCGCCCCTGCTCACATGTAATCAGGTACAGACCAGCAGTTTCCCATGTGCTATGGGTGTACGTGAGAGATGATGGGTGTATAAAGATGGCGTCTAGCCGGAACCGGAAATACGTCACCGCGCTCTAACCGGAAATACGTCACCGCGCTCTAACCGGCAATACGTCACCGCGCTCTAACCGGAAATACGGTCACCGCGCTCTAACCGGAAATACGGTCACCGCGCTCTAACCGGAAATACGGTCACCGCGCTCTAACCTGAAATACGTCACCGCGCTCTAACCGGAAATACGTCACCGAGCTCTAACCGGAAATACGGTCACCGCGCTCTAACCGGAAATACGGTCACCGCGCTCTAACCGGAAATACGGTCACCGCGCTCTAACCGGAAATACGGTCACCGCGCTCTAACCGGAAATACGGTCACCGCGCTCTAACCGGAAATACGGTCACCTCGCTCTAACCGGAAACACGTCACCGCGCTCTAACCGGAAACACGTCACCGCGCTCTAACCGGAAACACGTCACCGCGCTCTAACCGGAAACACGTCACCGCGCTCTAACCGGAAACACGTCACCGCGCTCTAACCGGAAACACGTCACCGCGCTCTAACCGGAAACACGTCACCGCGCTCTAACCGGAAATACGTCACCGCGCTCTAACCGGAAATACGTCACCTCGCTCTAACCGGAAATACGTCACCTCGCTCTAACCGGAAATACGTCACCGCGCTCTAACCGGAAATACGCCACCGCGCTGTTATATTTTATATTCTTTGTTGTTATGCGTAGTAAAAACTTGAATCTCCTTCTGGGGTTATTAATCGCCCTATTATAACTATAGCAACGCCCACAAACATAAAAAACCCACTCCCTGAAAAAAACTCCTATTTGTTGCTGGTATAGGTGGCTCTAATATATTTGTGACCACTTTGTCTCTCAGATTTGGGGCTTTTCTATAAATAAATTTAGGTTTTTCGGATATAATATTTTTTAAATGTTTGTCAAATTTTAACACGTTCCAGTGTTTTGAGATCATTTTTTGTACTGCTTTGTACTGTCTATTGTATTGCAGGACTGCCGCTACTTCCATATTTGCTGTAGTTTCTTTTTGTTTATCTTTGAGCATGACGTTTCACAAACATTGTTGTCAGAAGTGTATGACTACATTCAGCTAGCCATCTCTCTGGAATACAAAGCTTGAAAATCACTTACCAGTCCATGAATAGGACACAAATTCTAACTTAATGGTTTGGTGAGCGCATAGAGGAGAAGGAATCATTTTCTGAAAATAATCCCGGAGTGGACCTTTATGAACTGACTTTATTTTGAATTTTGAACACTAATATTTTTTTAAAAATTTTTAAAATAATTTTATAATTGATATTTATTGTTTGATCACCATTATATATTTTTTAGGATAATTATAGAGCACTCACAGAACTTTAAATATTTAAAGTTTTATTTGTTTTTTCACATGAATATAATTATAGTATTATTTCACATAACAGATAATATATTTTAGTGGAGTGTGACACGAGTTGAATTTCTAACCAATATCACACTGTCACGGTATGGGAGCCTGCCAATTATTAATCCCCTTATTAATGCCTTGTATCACATGCCCTCAGTGTCCCGCTCTGTATTGTTCCAATTGTCCCCTGTGTCACTAGGCCAAATGGCCAAATCAAATTACTCTGGGCCCCCTCCCTCCTGGCCAGCTGGCTGGGAGCTCTCTGCACACCTCCCAACCTGCTTTCCA